CGCACTCCAAAGTGATCAATCGAGAATGAAAAGCTTCGCTAAGTAAATTAGGATATTTCTAAAGCATTCACTGCTTTTCTGAAACGAATAAAACTTGATTATTTCAGGGATCCTCCCACATATGCGACACGTTTTCACAAATTACGATTTGCCGACTGTGTAGCTCCTGGTAGCTTGAATGCGAGCCGACGAAGCTACATGAGATATGACGATATGATTGGGTCAAACTAGTCTCTCTCCTGTGCAGCAGCCTGACTAGCCAAATAAGAAAATCCAGATCTATTATGTGCACGAGATTAACCAATTTTTCAACAATTTCAACTACACAGAGCGATCATTTTATATTCCTTCATTTACGAACTTTTCCGACTTTTGTACAAATAAAATGATTGAAAACTCGGCCTTTCTCGTTTATTTACTTTATCGGCTTAATCCTTCACATTAAAAACGTAACCTGCTTTAGAACATACTAATCTCAGCGTTAACCTGCTCTAGAACATTACTCTGACAGTCTGATCTCAATCATGTTTCACTTGACGCCATCATATTATCAAAAAAAAAAACGCTCACGCGGAACGGCACTACTCACCACAGGGGCTGCTTTCATAGTCCGCCGACCAGCTCTACAGCCGGCGCACGCGCTCGCGGGCCGGCCAGCGGACTATGAAAGCAGCCGGTCATCAATGCGCAGCACCTTTTCTAGTTTATACATCCTCTAAGTAGCGTCTAAACAGTCTAAATCAAGCTGAACACTGTTGTCAGCGTTTCTATTATAAGCAAATTGAAAATGTCGTATGCGTTCTTCAGATCTAATACAACAGTAGATGGTTACAGGCATAGTTCACGATAAAAATGATTTCTGAGAATTCTCTATAGTATAAATTCAAGGTTCTCCCTTGTCCATACCTGCCGTCAGGAGATCGAAAAAAGTCTTGGATAGGATACAATAAGGAACTAGAGCCTGCCATTCATGAGGAAACCAATGTAGGAAGTTCAAACAACCGGACATGACCCACAGTGACAGTGAAAGGTAATTCTGGGCAGCTATGGTTTGACGTAGTCAGCTCTTTGCACGATAAGAGCGAGTTAAATCTCACCTCAAAACTCCTTACATGCCATTCCTGTGGCGGTGATCTCGTACAACCTCGTACTTCCAGTACTTCTAAAAAGCTTGAAGTAGGCGAACTTCCTCGCTTTCTCCGCTATCGATGTACTCCTCTACATCAACACTTCCGCTTTTCAACCTAAAAAGGTACCTCCGAATACAAATAATGAACTNTGAACTGTGCCTTCGAGAACAAAGGAGAAGGTGAGGCAGCGGTAGAGTGAGCTGCAATATGAATATCTTGGATACCTTTTCGTCAGTGAAGCACACGGTATGTCAGTTACTTTGGAATTTCGCACATTCCACCGAGATCTCGCGACATGTGGTTGCGAATTGGACATCGTGGTAGTGCTACACTGGTGATATTAATATGTTTTGAATGAAATAAGTGACGATAACAACCAAGAATTATCAGACAAATTCGGCGTCCTACCTTCGAAAATATCCCGAAAGCAGTCCGTGCTGGCGAAACATACGTTAAACCACCAGATGTCCTCCTCCCTCTCGCGAATGTATCCTACGCTGCACGGATTTGAGGTTACGGTAGGTAGTAGAGTAGTGCACACGCACCAACGGCATATTTTCAAATTCGAATTTTAATTTTCGTTATCACCGGCTTTCTTAAGCAGAATTTCTCGCTATTTGCTAAAAGTACACTGATTATGTTATCAATAACCACCTGAATATTCTTGTTATCGTAGGAAACTAATCAGAATGTCCAGAGGTTTATCATGCTTTGGCCAAGCCAAATAGTTACTGTGCTATAGTCAGTCCCCATTCAGTCGATCCTATCTAAATCTGATTCTGATTGTACTTGTAATAAGAATGAGGCAATCAGATTTCCTCTGCTCCCACTTTTTTTCCCAACTGGTTACACTTTTGCCGTTGGTCACTATAGTCACGGAAACCCCTTTGTCGCTCTTGAAAACACCGGTGTTGAAATTATTTAATGGTACCTAAGAACAGTACCAGTAGGCGTTCTTCCTAAAGAATCCTCCTTCATATAAACCTTCTCATTACATGCGATCATTCAGAAAAGCTATTTTGCTTACTTCAGATTCGTCTTTAGACTTTTCTAGCGTCTGGGCTGGGTTCACTATTAGAACTGCTTCATAACTGTTCTGGACTTTTCTCGATTTTTGAGGCGTTCATATGCGTAGGTTCAGTAATGACCACTTCTGAACCGATGAAACCATTACCAACGCTAAGTAAATGATTGGACCGTTCATCGTAGAAATCTGCGCCTAATATTTGAACGATGAATGGATGATTCCCTAAGAATCGTGGCGAGTAATGGCAAATCTATCAGATGGAACAGTTTACAACAATGACTATCCTCTCCAAATATTCCTATCGTCAGCAGATGTGAGTGAACAGAATTAGGTTTTCCACATTATAGTAGTGACCGACGTACAAAAATGTTCGTCCTCTGATTGGTAATGAAAAGTGTGCAAATTAGACAATGTTATTATGCTTCACGATATTCTTCTTTGTTTTATCAGCTTCACGAGAGCAGGAGAACCTCTGCTGTACTTTAACTTCATACGTATCCGATGCTTCGCAAACTTTGTGAATTCCACAATCCTGCAGATCAAAAGTGTAATGAACATTAGGGTTTGTGCATTATTTCTTTTAGAAACTGATGCTGGGTGACTATTCTCATCAACCGTCGATGGTTGGTGAGGCGGCTACTACGCCATTGACTAATTTGAGTAGGAGGTAAGGAGTTTCTGCGTCTTATGCTCGACCATTTCTAACATTTTAAGTGTTTTCTCGGCATGCTGCTTTTCGCTTTCATTCATGTGTTGTAATTTTACCAATATAGGTCTACTTTTGACGAGGATTCGTTTTTCTCGCCAACCCAACCTAAAGCAGAGCAGAGAGGAAGTCATTCAGCACCGAGCCCGCAACCGATACAAAGACTGCCCACCGTCCACGATAAGGTTCTAGAGTGGTTTCTGAGGCTGGTTGGTTTTCCTTGGCTTTCCGTTTTACTTTGAGGAAATGTGCTTAACATTGCATTTATCTATTTAGATCGAAAATCGCCGTTTGAAGACATCTGCTTGCACCAGCGTNTTTCGTTGACATCTCCGCTACGGTTCTTCAAGGGTATGCATTTTCTGACGGTTACCTCGGTTGATTACTCTTAACTAAATTTTTAGATGCATTTTCTTCAACTTTCTCTCTATCGACATGGTTTTCAAGTGTAATTATTTGGGCACTATCCTTTGTTACGTGTTGGGTTCTGCTACATTTTCTTGCTAAAGGTGAGCTCACACGTTTCACTTTTCTCTTGCGCTTCCGTCCTCGTTATTAGTAGCTTTAGTCAAACGAGCGTTCCTATTTAGCTGAACAACGGCAGAGAGTCTCCTGGACGAGCTTAGATTCTTGGCTATGTTTTTTAGCTGTTATGCTCTTCAACGAAATTCAATCTATCGCTCTGATGAAAATGACACGGTTTCCTACGGAAGAAAAGTAATCCTATTACCTTTACTTTTTTCGTTCTGTTATATGGTAAACTCTTAATGATACTAAATGAATGCTAGGTTTCTCGTTAGCTTGGTTATCTTGTCTGCTATCGTGTCCGCGTTGTGCTCCATATTCCGCANCGATTTTCAGCTCAGTTTCTCTGGTGCTGTGACGCAGGTAAGTTTAACCTAGCTGAGTCTTTGTCTCTACCGCTTGCTGGATGAATGTTCGAAAGTTTTCAGTTAGGAATCACACACACTATTGTTGGCATGTTCGCGAGTGGGTATGAGTCTGTTCTCATTTCTTCACTCCGTGAAGCAATTCGCATAGCATCATTCACAACCGTCGTTGGGTGTGTTGCCGGTGAGATGATTCTGTAGATATGCAGCCAGTATCCGAAATCAAAGATATTACGATCTCTTTGCATTATTGTTCCGATTTAGGCCTGTTCTCTCACGGCTTCTCTTCTTTATTATTGTTGTTCAACATAAAATTTCATATTTACAACATTGTTATCATTTTTGGACAACAATTCGCTACAAAAGCTTTACTGAAGCTTGTTCGTCATATTGTAATGAAGGTAATGTTTCTGTTTCTCTTTTTAAAGTGATTAGTTTCTTTAATTTTGGCGAATAAATTCCTTGAGTGTGCCATTCCTCATGTTAAAGAGCACTACAAGTCAAAATTCCTTATGATGAGATGTAATGGGCTCACTTCATAGCCGACGTTGCTGAGCCCTTTTGATTCAGGGCAAGGAACATGACGACAGCTGTTCGCCGTAAGGGTTGTAACCAGTAGGTAGGAAAGGTCGGTGTGTGGTCGATGAAGAAAGTGGACGGGATTGAATTGAAGGCGAGAGTGAGCTGCTAAGTGTAATGATAAACATAAGGACAAAAAATGTGGAAAGTTCGGCTGCCAACGGGGAAAAGAGGTCTACCGGTCCCAAACTTTCTTCTACTCACTTCAATCTTACCTTCTCGGGCTTCAGATTTTGTTCCTGTAATTGCAACACTCAAGTCGTTCCTTTTCTTTGAATTCCAGAAAAATACTTTCCACTATTTTTTTACAGGAACAACTGTAATTTCAGCCAATCTCCTTTCCATTACCTCCCTCTTATGCTGTGCATTCGCCAACTCCAGAGCAAACTAGAAATTTGGTCATCGTTCTCGATAGTCAGCATCCACTATTGAAGGTATGCCCTT